TGGCCCCCTTTATTGACCTGAGAATGACCCTCCCAACGGGCCACGACCTGGATAGATACACGTTGCCCCTCTTCACATACTCTTAGGGCGTGGTCGGTATAGCCCCCCCCCCTCCACCGCAGGTTGTCACGGCTAAACTTTTAATCTGTAATACAAGAACTTATTAACCTGTACGCGAAAACAATATCATAAATAAATACCCTTCACAGTATCACACTTTGAAAATGAAACAACTGTTCTCACTTCAGCACCTGCGACATAGAGAGTCGGAGTGATTTTTATAATAATTGATTGAAAGCCTTTTACGATTCAAGATAATTAACGTTGGAAACTTTGAAATCAGCTTTTTAATTACAGACTTCAATTTCAGTTAAAGGGAAAATACAACATTTGCAAACATCAAAAAATAAAACTACCAAATCATTTTGAAATACCTTGCTGGACTGTTAGTGAATGACAGTGTAAAGCATCCTGTAAAATCATGGCACCTGGTATACTGTCATTTTCAAAAAAAGTGGAATTTTTGTATCAATTTCCAACGCTGATCGGCCGATCACCGTTGGAAAAAAACTGGCTTGTTTTCAAATACTGGCCCCAATTGACCATCGCACTTGTTTGCAATCGATTACAAACCTATGAACGGGTACGAGCCAGCTAGACTGGTTCCCCGACCTTACAATTCCCAAATGTATGTAAACTGCTCTGTTTCTTCTTATATGGAGTCAGGGAACCAGACTACAGGAAAATGATTGTTTTTCTTGGTTTTTATAGCATTTTCGAACCCAAAACCTCAAAAAAGTCAGTGTAACTATATTTGCTATATATTTCCAACCCCCCAATTCCATCCATTTCTGAAAATTACAGTAAAAGCAAATGATGTATATTCCCTTTAAATCTCAAATAACGGTCTACCTTTTTTTGGCGCGAGGTCTTGACCTACTAGATCAAATTCCAGTTTTCATCATGCATCGGCCTTAGAAATCACGTCGAAGATCCCTAACAGTCCTGAATCCTCCAGTTTTAATACGAATTTTGCACACCCCCTAGGGAGTTAGGGTTAACATGAGATACACAAGTTCTCACCAATATTAAGATGAACATTTTGTCGATAACCTGAAATTAACTTTGAATAAAAGCCCGAGGAAAAAATACATTATTCAAGAGGTATCAATCAAACTAAATGTCAAGTTCATATACTAGTCCAGTTTTTCGTCTTTTAACATTTGAAATACAATTCTCACGTTGCTGTTCGACAAAATCCTATTTCTCGATTTATTTTTGGAATCAGAGAGTCGATACAGATTTTGTAAAGCTATAAGAATACTTCGTATAGGCATATGGCAATATGGACACGTTAATGAAGTGTGGTTGATACTCCGGCAACATTTTTAAGAACAATATTTGTGCCATGCGCGGCCATTGCACAATAGTGCACCTCTTTCGCGTAACGGACATTTCGATAACATGGCAATAACACGCACCACCTTATCCCGCTTAACGGGAAACTGAAGTTTGGATGTCTGGATGTGGCTAATGTCGGCAGGGAAGAATATTGTTTTCAGTGAAACCACAAATGACATTTGGCAAAGTAAATGAACCCTGCATAAAAGTAAACCGACGTCATTACTCAAACGCGACGGGGAGGGCCTAGTGGGGGAAGGAGAGGGAGATCGCGTGCTAGTATATTAGTGGGGCAGATAGGGGAAATATATGAGGGGGGGGGGAGGGGTGCTCACTTTGATGATACAAGCATGGCATTTGGCACACCGAGTTTCATGTCTTAAGTAAGATATTTTGGCTAAGGGCCATCGCAGATTTGTCCTTTGAAAAAAGATAGGTATAGAATAACAAGCAATTTTCAAAATTTTAAAAATGGCTGCCATTGCTTGTTATTTTACGTATATTTGTTTCAAAGGACAAATCTACGATCATGGCCCAATAGCCAAGTATCTTTCTCATACATGACCTACTCTCACTGTGTGCCAAATGCCATACTTGTATTAGCAAAATGAACAATCCCTCTCTGCCGTACTATATAGGGTTGTATTTATTTGGCCAGTTTTGTTCAAAGTTAAACCGCAATATAATGGTGCCAAATAATCAATATTGAGTTTAGCCCTGCACCAATCCAAATAGAACCCTGAATCGGTTGAGACTCATGCGTTCGAGTCCCACCCGAGTATAAGCTTGTGAAGTTATTATTCTTTTTTCTTCTCGCAAACCCTCGTACAACACTGAGTGTACATTGCTTATAAAATTAGGTCGGGCATAAGGGCAAAACCAAGTATTAAATTAATATTTCCTCAACACAACAACATCCATCTTATAAAAATAGGGCCATCCGGCATTCAAGTTTAGGCCTACAGTTATAAAATCGATGTGCACGATTTGATTCAATCTCTGAACGATGTTTTTGCACTTGCAAGATCAACTCGCTTACTTTCACGTTCTCTTAGCAAATGTTGGTTCCGTAGCCTGATCCCTGTCCCCAATCCAGGCATTGTCCTTTGGACTTCAAATATTAAGGGGGGGAGCGGGAAACAGTCTATTGGTTCCGGTCACGAGCAATTATGCCGACTGCGACATGTCATTTTGGCTGGAAAACTTTCTGTGTTGAGCAGATCATGCTTTGCATGCAGCTTGTTACAACGGATAATTTAGTAACTAACGGATAACGTATCACCAACCGATCATGGCACAAAATTGACCGATAGTGTATCACTAACCGATAATGTAACACAAAATCGACCGATAGTGCACTGAAGTAAAATGTACTACACTATCAGTCAATGTTGTTACATTAGGGAGGTTTCGCAAGCGAACGGATACGCGTACAAATACGTTTAGCTATCCGTATCCGTTTTTCACTTACGTGTAGCGAGCGAGATATGCGTGTCGTCTGCACGCACTGATCTCTATATAAAGACTGGATAGCGGATATGCATACAACATTCACACAGTAGACTTCGCACATTGACCAATTCGCCCCCGGTCTCACGAAGATGGCCGCGTATAATACGAACGTTCTACGCGTAAATACGCGCGCGTTGTATCAACAGCTGACGCGCATTTTGGTCACGTACACATATTATGATGTTCTAAAAGGGACACATTTCCGTAGTGATTATTATTTCAAAACGCCGAAAAAGTTATATTTGCGGCATTTTAGTAACCACGACGTTAGAAAAATTGTAGTTAATTTTGTTCAGTGATGGTGGTCAAAATATAAGTCAAGTGAACCGCGACGTTACAAAAGAAATCATGCTGTCTATAAAAACGGCAACTTGTCCTTTGTAGATCACCAGCCGGTCTCACCAATATGGCGTCAAATTCGTACATCGTGCGGCTCTGTATTAGCTATCCAGTCTTTATATAGAGATCAGTGTCTGCACGTTTAGCGGCTAGTGAGTAGCGTATGACGTCATACGTGCAGACGACACGCATATCTCGCTCGCTACACGTAAGTGAAAAACGGATACGGATAGCTAAACGTATTTGTACGCGTATCCGTTCGCTTGCGAAACCTCCCTAATATCGGTTGGTGATACGTTATCCGATTGTACGGATAAGTTGTAACAGCAGCTCCTAGATGCTGCCTCCTTTTCAATTCAGGCCTGCTATACGGTGAGCGGTTAATGAACTTGCGAAAGTGCCACAAAAAATGCCGTGACCACACTCTGCACGTAGGCAGCTGTTCTCAATCCCCTCGACCTTAATTTATCCAAATTGAATGCATCCGATGGGAAGATTCAAGTCTTGAAGTTGAGAGCATCAAGAGTTCTGTTCCGCAGTTCGAAGAAATGAACTTGAAGACGCGGACCACGACTTGCATGCATTATGGTGGGCAAGTTGCCAACTTGGTTCCAAGCTGGATACCTGAAAACCGCAAAATGTTCAAGTAGTTATGTGGACTATTATATTCTTACTTTAAAATGACTCCAACTATTATTCCCGTGACGCGTTTTAAATGAGTCAAACGAAAAGACTCCTTTAAAGGTATATGGTAAAATTTTCCTTTTTTGTGCATTCGTTTTTCGTATGAAGCACCAAATTGCTCAAAATCTTAAGAAGGGTGCTTAACAAACTAACCATGTTGAAGTTTCAAATCAATGGATAATGTACATTTTTTGGGGAAAACTTAAGCCCCCTTTTTGGGGCCTCATATTTTCGAAACGCACGTAAAAACTTATATACCCGTGGGCACATTTTCTCCCCACCACCTTAGACTACGACACAATTTCAGGCGGACTAATTTTACAAGGTATTTGGTATCACTCCTATCTTCACTTTGAGTTTGAGTAAGGTCTGCAAGGATGTTCTCGTTAAATTGCTAGATGCTTTAAACTTTCCCGGTAATGTTCCTATGTGCCTTTTAATACAGCGGTGAAAAATACAAATTTGCCGTTGATTTTATTTAGTAAACTACACGTTCATTCGAGTTTGTCGTGATTGCTACTGCTTCCCCCATATATCCACACGCTAGATTTTATTTTCTTCAGTCATCGTCTCAAGTCGATTTGCTTATCTCAGCGTGTACGCCTGGCACGTGTCACTTTTTCTTGGGAGGGACTGTTGTATGCAAATTCTGACAGCGTCCAAAATTTGGGCTGTGATTGATAGGTTGCCTTTGTCAGTTTATTTGTCAGGAAAAAGTTTGGCAGCCCACCGCACACGTCCTACGCGTGCGTGACGCGCTTACTTTTTGGCAAGACGATAAACTCCGCCCACTTTACGCAATTACTGTTACAACGGTTGCATATCCGAAATACCAAAAAATTGGCCCACAGTTGGAAAGCATCCCCAATTCGGGATCAGATTTTAGCAGTTTCGCACAATTTAATATAATTTCTTCGACAAATTGTCGTCAAAACGTGTTTTAACAATATCTGTCTGTGCAGTGGAGAGTACAGTAATCCTTACCCAGAGGGAGGAACTACTATGGAAAGCACAGCACTATGCTAATGAGCAAGAAAAGTGTTTGAGTTTGCAGCTTGTTTGCCAACCTGCCATGATTTCCGCTGCAAGTTTCAGACGACCCGCTGGCTACGTTGTATATTGTACGTGAACTACTAACGAGCATGGATCCGCAAAGGAAAGTTACACATCTCTGATGTTTTCTTCTGTGTTTGCCATCCAAAACGGGAAATAACCGACACCAAACCGTTCTCAAATGGAATAATATTTGTTTGCTGACGTTTCGCTTGGATTGGAATACCCTACTTCCCGAAAAATGCCAGGATTTTACGCGAGGTTTTTGAGGGCCAGTTGTGTCCTTTGCGCCGTGCGAATGCCCACGCTGCTCCTTTTCCTGCAGTGCACATGTCTACTTTTCGCGGCGCCAGCTTTTGGTAAGTTCTCGCTGGCCTGGCTATTGCCGTAAAGACGGGAAAAGCAGTTTGTTTTTCAACAGTTTTGTGTGTCCTTTTGCATCGTATTAATGCCGTGGTAGAGAGTGGTCCAGGGATTGTGAATTTTGTAAGCTTATTTATCCACTGTGGTTTATCAACAAACTCCCAGTAGTCCCACGACATGGAAATATGGAGTGTTTTTCCCCACAGATCTCGTGCTTCGAATGCTTAATTTTTCGTGTAGTGTGGGGCCGGCCAAATTGGTACAAATAGGCCTAAGCATAGATCTACGGACTTCAGACGCTTTTTGGAGGAATATGCGGAATTCTCAAATACTAATTTGTAACTGTGAGACGCCAATGCTACAAAATTGCACTCGGTGTTTGGTTGAATCCTAATCTGTGTACTTTTAGATGTGCCATAGAAAGTCATCCCAACTTTCTGGAATAGCAAAACAATTAAAGTCGACAGAAACTAATAATTGTTACAATGTATACATACGCCTACCTTTTATTTTTACAATGTATATATAAATGGTATAAATGTTATAAATGTGTATGACATGGAACTGATGAATTAAATTTCTCTAAATCAATGGTGTCAATTTTTAATTTGTTCACATAGAAAATCTGGACACATGAGCAAATCATTCTATTTTGTTTTCACTATATTTATTATCATTATTAGCACACCTCTTAAAATATAAAGACCAGCTTTTTAAAGGTTTTTTTTTTACTTCACCAAAATATCTCACATTTATAAACAGCATTTTAGGCCCGGCTTTGTAATTGAAATATTGCACTACTAAATTAAAGAATTGCACAGGTCTTTATTCAGGCCTGTTAGAAACAGCACTTTTAGTAATTTATGTAATTCTATAAATATTATAATTTTTTGTTGTTGAAAGACTTCTAACTTTCCATTGAGAGCAAAGTAGGTCATGTTTTTCAAAGACTGTGCTGTTAAATTTAATTATGTACTTGTGAAACATCTATTTTTCCTTAAAAAAAAAAGAATATTGATAAGATCAAAAATAAACTTTAATTTAAAGTGTGTGCATGCGTTGGAATTCATTTTACTTTAGGCCGAAAATAAACATCTATTTTCAATGTGCGCATTTCATTGTGCGTTTACCATTTTACAGCGTATGAAACTGTGATGCGTACTCTGAAAAGTCATGTGTGCACACTGACGGATGTAAAAGCTGAAAAAATGATCACGCAGCAGTTTTGCGAGTAGAAAAATCCAGTCTTAATAAAATTCGGATAAGCTTTAAATAGCAAAGTACACATTTTACAAAATAAACATTTCAAGACAAGATGTTACTTCTCAATGAAGCGTACAGGCTATGAATATTATAATAATAATATTAATAATCATAACAGCATGTATATTGTGCTTTTAACTAAGATTAAAGCATTTAACGTTATTTAATAGTCAATGTTTTATTAATTATGGAGAATCTGAAAATGAAAATCAAGACAGGCATAGTTAGTTTGTTTCATAAACTGCTCCCTTTTAAAGCCAATCATTAATATCTATCTTTTTCCCCACCATAAAAATTGTTTCTTTTAGTTTCACATAAAAACTTTGAATATTGTACACATACATGCGTCCTACATTTCATTCGCTACAAAGCTTCAACTGTTAACACAGTGCGCAAAATGGAGGGACGCTTTTTCACGTTGCTTTTCGAACAAGTGACGTTTATGCATCATGCAGTGCGCACTACACATTGATTTTTTCGGCCTTATTATACTTCTAGAAACTTTGAAATAGGGCCTGACAGGTGTTCATATACAGCGTGTGTCAATAAAAACGCAGGAGTCAAAGCGATTTTTTATCTGAGAAAATTATGCTACTGGTGTGCCTAATTTGATAAGGATTTGATTGTCCATAATTTCATCTTTGACAAGATTTTTGTTTGGTGGAATTTGGACTTTTGGTTCAAAAGTTATGACAAGTTGTGTGAAGCCCTTCTGAAGCAGGTTGGTCTGATTCAATGACCTTAACACAACGACCAGTTATGTACAATGCAGGTATGCATTGAAGACAATTAAACCAGAACAAAACTTTCTTTGAAACAACTGATGATAAGTATCACTTAAATTTAATAACTGGACTATCATTGTTTCAAAGCATCATGAATGTCGTCTCTGACATATCAAATAACATTGATTGTGGACTAAAGGATTATGTAAGCCTAATCCTGCCACACATGTCCTTCTTTGTGATCCACAAATACTTTCACCTGTACTGAATTCAAACCTTTCATTAGGTATGTGTGATTTCACAAATCAGACCAGCTTGGAATTTATAACCCTTCTTCAATGTAGCCTACTCTATCTCTGGACAGGATTGTCCAAATGAGATGGGATAAAAAGCATAGTGAAGAGAAGGAAAGGTACTTTAAAAAGAGGGTTAACATTATGATGAAAAGGGGTGGTTTATATTCTTAATATTTTGTTTCTAATCCTGCGTTTTTATTGACACACGCTGTACATGTTCATTTGTGTGCATACGTGCACTTCTTTTTGCTGCAGCAAGCTATTAACTTACATCGTTTCAGGGAAAAAATTAATAAATACTTCCTTTACACGATATTCATCCTCAGCAGTCTAGTGAAGAAGCTGCTGTCTGTTTGTTAGTCCCAATACCTCCTTCAAAATAGATACTGCCTTATCATAGCAGTGCATCTGTTATTGTAAATCCCAAGGCATTAAAGTGTTTATTTAAACCACTCAAGTGCGCTAGGGCCACACACTATACCATCAAACCCAACTAAAAAAAGCAGAAATTTATGTCTAGGGACCTTACGGGGTCACTAAAAAACTTGCATTTGTGCCATGTGATTTCTGAGAAATGTGGCAATTGACAACATTAAATCTTTTTTTTTATATATTTTTTAAAAACAAATTTGTCAATTGGTAATACATACATGTTGAAGGACACAAAGACAAAACACTACACAAAAGCATGCAAAGTTATGGCAGTTTCTCATATTGTAAAAACTTTATTTTGTTGAGAAACGTGTTTACATAAAAGGTACAAACAATTACATTCACATTTACATACAATTACATTCACAACATGTTGCAACATGAATTGTCTTGTATTCTGTAGGGATTGTACCCATAGAGAGTCTGAAATGATGCATATATTCAATTGTATGTTAATTAATCTCCAAGATTATATAGTTAGCGTTCAAAATAGTTTCTTTTTTGTATATAAATTCAGTCATCTATATTAAGAAGACTTTCTGTCATGATCAAAAACTTCGCTCTTAAAAAAATCTAGATTACTTTCAATCAGAAAAAAATACCGTGATGCAGATGAAATGTTAACTCTGCCCCTTGATGCACCAGGGGGCCACAGTTACATTTCAGCCGAGGGCTTTTAACACTTGAGTTCAAGAGTTTCCTTCTCCTGGGATGAAATGACTCCAGAATGCCCTTTCTATGTGTGTGGCCAACATTTTGTTATGGTTGTAGTGGAAAATAATGGTATATTAATCGTGTATTGTAAACCCACATTGAAATTGGTGTTAAATTTGAAACATATTGAGTGATTCCATTGAGAGTACACGCTGGTAATATCCAAAGAGGGAAACTAGGGACTAGATGATGTAGAGTGCAAATCATTCTAAATTGAGATTAAAATACTCTGATAAAGGATCAATCCAGTGGAAAATCAGTAAAAAGTCGACGTGTCCATTCGAAGAAATTCAATGTATAATGTCTGGTCCCTAGTTTCAGATGATGGGAGTGAATTTTCATTTCTGAGAATAAAGTGAATTGGCACTCTTTGGAAATATAGGAAGTACATTTTTGTACATTTGTATACTTCAAAGAAGTCTTGGACTTTGTTATGAAAAGCAAATGCACACAGTAGTTATTGAAGAGTTTATTTCCAAAATATACCATTCTGTTCCCTTTTAGAATCCTGCTCTTTCCTCCTGGCTGCCCAAAAGCAATTCTAATTTACTTAAACACAACTTAAGAACACAATAAGGTGAACAATGAAGTTTAGAAACAGCTGTTAGATCTATACAGGGTGTCTAAAAGGGCAACCGAAATCCATTACATTCCTAACAAATGACAATTGAGACCCTGGACAGTTTGAAAATTGACACTTATTTTGAATTGGCCATATCTCAATAAATTTTTAGCCGATTGAAAAGATTTTTTCGTTTCTGAAAAGCTAATGGACTGTATGCATAGATATTTGCAATGTATTTTTTTTATAAGCTGTGAAAAAGAGGACGCTCTAAGGGTTCAGGTTTTGTGTTTTGAGACACCCTGTAAACTGTATTTTTTTTCTTTAAAGTTTCATAACCGTGCGGCAACATTTTCACCTTTTTTTCAAATGTGTGTGTGGTGTTTTAGAAATAAACTCTTCCATGAATTTTTGAAACTATTCCTTAAATCTGTTGAAATTGGTCTGTAGTCCTGGACCTGGAGTATATTTCAAGACTTAAAAACCCAAAGAAGATATTATCCTTTATCCAGATACATGTTGCTCTGAATGGTTTGAGTGAAATAATTTACCTTTTTTGAAAAATGGGACTGGAGACTTGTTTTTGAGTCTGAGACTGGTTTGGAGCCCTCCAGTTTTGATAAGATAGATTATGATCTTGACCACATGGGCAGGAAGTTGCCCAAATTGGCCGGAGACGAATATCCGCAATATAAACCTAAATAAATACGGATCACCATCACTTCCTACCTGTAGTTCATGGGCAGTTTAACTTACATACTTCTGATATTGATCCCTTCTGTTTTGATAATGGTAGGCAGACCCTATCATGCAGGAAATCTGATGGAGAAATTAGGTATAATTCAATTATGTACCAGGCAAAAAGCCGATATGTGTTGCAAGTGTTGAAAGTGTATACAGACGAGATTAATTACAGATCACTTTGCCAATTTATAATCTTCAATTAATAACAAAATACTTGTGACTTTAAAGGGACACTTGGTCCTGGAACAGCCCAATTGGGC